TTGTTTGAATATAATTGGGATGCCACAGGAAAGGTGCTTTTAGGTTTTGGTTTAAAAAAATGTCACATAACTGTCCCTAGACCGTGCAAAATTAGAGAATTACTAAAACAATTGGTTTTATTTTTAGGATACATATTATAATTAGTTGCACTGTAAGTAAATAACCTGGCAGTAAATATCTTTGGCTGTTAAATCATGTCTCATTTTGACTGTAATTCTTAAATAGTCCAGCAGCTTTTAAAATACCTGGAAACTTTTATTTTCGTGCATTGATTGAATGTCAGATTTGAACATTGGATTTTCAAGACTAAAAGAAAGCAGACACTAACTTTTGATATAAGCTCATGGGATTTAAATATTTTTCCATCTGTTGCTTTAGTGAAAATATTAAATAATATTAAAATGTTACCTCTGTTTTTATTTACAGTTAGGGTTGGACTTGGAAGAACTGGAGGAAATAGAAGAGGATGCTGGCCTTGGCAATGGAGGCCTGGGGAGGCTGGCAGGTAATCCCAGGCACCTGTCTAGGACAAGCCTTTCCTGACATGGTGCCTTGTCAGTGATCCCATGATGAGGCCAAGGTCAACTGTGCTCCTGACATTGTTCTGTCAGGGTAAATTGGTCCCCCAGAGTGGATGGGAGAGTGTTCCCCAGGTCAAAATCTGCCACCAGCAGGGAAAAAATGCAAGATGTATGTTCACTTTCATACAAGGGGCACTTGATAATGATCACGAAGACCAGTCTTGCCAAAGTTAGGTGACTGGTCCTGGAGTGGATTCCAATATACCAACCACTCTCCTTGGTCCAAAAGCCAATAACTGGGAGAAAGATAGGTAGAAACACACACACACGTGTGCACGCACACACACACACACACACGCATGTGCTCACACGCACACATACACACAGCTTATGCAATTTATTCCTGCTTAATGGTAGTATGCAGATTGTTTTGACATAACAGAGCCGTTCCTTTGAGGGATGTTGCTCTTTTGGTCCACCTTATTTAAGAGCATACTCAGGTTTTTTGTTCTGTTTTAAATTATTTTTGCCAGCCTTTTTGAGAAGAGGGAGCTGGGTTAAGAACATGAAAGTGGAAATAACAGTCACAGTGAGATCTGATTTTACTATGCATGTCAGAGTGCTTGGGCACAGTGTTTCTGGAGCAGAGATGAGTCAGGTTTTGTGCTGCCTTCGTAGGGGCCACGGGAGGGTGGGCTTAGGCCCCTGCCACATGGCATCACTGCCCCTTTTGAGAGTTATCATTTTGTAAAGGGAGCAAACACATTAAAATTTATCTGGAAGGGAGTATGTGTGTTTGTATTTTTGAATTTTAAATTAAATTCTTCACAAAGTAGAAATGTTAAATACGTTTATCTCCAATAAGACAGTACATGGATCTATTTAAAGAAACAATTGGCAAGGGTTGCCCACTCCTACCTCTTAGAGTGAAAAGCCTGTTTGTGTCCTATGTATCTTACTTTCCAGGGCAGGGCTCTGTTTTAGTGTATGAAAGTCAGATCATATTAGACAGTAAGCTGGAGCTTACTTCCTCAGCAGCCCCACTGGACCCCTAGTGTCCTTGAGACCAAGGGTTTCAGTCCACCCCAGTCTCCTTCACTCTGTCAATCATTATAAAAACAGAACCTGTTTCCCAAGCTCAAGGGAAGCTCCAGGCCCTTTGGTATCTCACTGGAGTGGCTGCCTAACCCTCCCTATTACCCCAAAGCTGAGGACTGTCAGCCAGGCAGTCCCATGCCCTGACCTTCCAGATGTACTTCCATTCAGGGCATTTTCAGGCCTTTCCCAGTCAAGTTCTGTTGACTTCACTGTCACTTGTCCTGCCACTTCTGTGGTGCCTATGGTCTTCCCTGTGGGCTAGTGTGATGGCACTTCCTCCTTGGACCCCTCTGGTTCCACAGATTCCTGTAACCAAGTACACCTGGGCAGCACCAGTCCACTGTAGCTTGATATGTGCTGTGTCCCTCCTACAAGAATGATTTCCTCAAAACGAAAGCTCAGATCTTACATTTTTGGATCTTCCTCATGCCCATCCCTCAATAGAGGGCCCTACTCCCAGGGGTCTGCGTGTGTTTGGTGAATTGGGCATGGATTCTATTTGCTGGTGTTTTGTATACATTCTTTTCCTTTCCCTCCCCTTTCTTTTTTAATCCACAAGATTAATTAATAAGGCTACTTTCTGGATCTTTATTCAAAACATGTGTGTTTTTCCCCCTCTAAGACATTTTGATTGGAACAAGGGGTCAATTTGGTGACATACTGCTCCAGCCACCTTCCAGGCTCCCTGGTAGCACTTGGCACTTTGGTATTTGGCATTGTGGACAGTGAAATGTGCATTCCCGGCCCCTATTTCTGTGCCATCTCCACTAACGTATAGAGATATTTTATGATATTCCCCTACTATCCAAACAGCTTGGATTTGAGGTAGACCGTGCAGAGTATGGAGAAGCCCTCAGCTTGAGTGAGGTTCTCTAGGAGGAAATTGGCAGTGGGGCCGGTGCATTTAGAGATGCACCGAGTATGGTCATGTTCTCTCTCTTCCCTTCCCATCTTCCCACACTCCCAAATCTTTCCACGTTGGTATCTTCTTGGCATGGCCCTAGGCTCTCAAGCTGAAGGAAGCAAGGGGAAAGTTCAGCTTTCCTTTTTATAAAACCTCAAGCTGACTATAGTTACCACTGAATCACTGATGCCCCTGAGGCCAGCATCCCAGCAACTGCTTAACTTAGGCATTTGGGCCTTTCTTCCAATGGGCCTCAAACATGCTGATCTGCCTTTGATCAGAAGAGGTTCTTTGTGTTTGGAATTTTCAGCCTGCTTCCTTGACTCGATGGCCACCTTGGGCCTGGCAGCATACGGTTATGGAATCCGCTACGAGTTTGGGATTTTTAACCAGAAGATTGTCAATGGCTGGCAGGTGGGTGAGATTTGGTTCCTTCACTCATTTCTATCTCTTGTTCACACAAGAAAATAAACAAGGGCACTTTCAGTTCAGCTTTTTATACTTTAAACTCCTTTCTGAAGAGACTATATGCCAGTCCTAGGCAAGCAGAGGTGGTACAGGTCATGGTAATCCTATGAGTTTCATGTTTTCTTCATAGTTCAGTGTGGGCCTGCAGACACTGGTCTCCTGTGTGAACTCATTGCAGGTCTAATGAGGTGGGGCCTCGAGCCTGCTGGGCCTTATAGGAGGGGTGGGGTAGGGAGCGGAGCAGCACAATGGTGAGAATACTGAGGACTATGTGCTGGTTTCCTGTTATATCTCACCACAGAGCAGAGTGTAGGTGGCCCTACGGTCAATTGACCTGGAGTAGTTAAAAACAGTTGTAGTTGTTTTTTTCCCACCTTCTGCCTTCTCTCCCTGACACCGGTGACAGGACAGCATCATGTAGGGTTAGAGGCCAGACTTTGCAAAGCAAAGTGGCCCTTAGGAATAGTGAGTCTTGATTCTAGAGCATCAAACCACAGCTATGTAAGGTGGTCAAGACCCCATCAGTGAAGTGTAATCTCAAAATGCAGTTTCACTGTCCTCCACTAGGCGAGGTGGTGATTTCTATTCATTTGGTATTTCTAACTGGAAGTCATAGCTATACCACTTAGGTGGAGAATAGTTTTTTTAAATATAATTTGGCACCTAAAAGTTACAGATAAAGCAGGGTCGTGGTTAGAAAAAGTTTTGTGATTTGAGAATAGTATTATCTAAATGAAATTGTGGATGACTGGAGTAGTAGACATGCACTTTATCTTGATTGGGTTTAGGTTACACGGATATGCAATTGTCCAGACTCATCAATGGTATCCTCAGGATTTATGCATTTCACCATATATATATGTATTAACCTAAAATATAAACACATGATGAGCTATCGTTAATGATGTGCATGCCGAAGTGTTCAGAGGAGGAGTGTACAGATTTCTGCAACTTACTTTGAAATGCATCCAAAAATTAATGGATCGGTGTGGATGGATATGCAATAAATCAAGTATAATGTTAACAGTTATAGAACCCGGGTGGTGGGTGTGTGCGTGTTCACTGCCAATTATTTTTTTAACATTTCTTTATGTTTGAAATGCTCATAATAAAATATTGGCAAAGAAAATTATGGCTACATGTAAAAGAAAACTTAAAATAGATTCGTATCCATTGCTTCATTTATAGAAATACATGCTCTAATCTTAAAAGAAATGCAGCTTTTCTTCAGGTACCTTCTGGATGATTTTATTCATGTGAGTGTGTTTGTCAGATGTATTCCAGCTCTTGTATACATATGTGTGTTTTTTATTGAAGAAATGATCGAAGATTTTTGTTTTCTATTTTTGAATTTTTTTGTATTTTTCTTTTTATTAAAGCATAGTTAGCATGCAATATTGTATTAGTTTCAGGTGTACAAGTGATTCAACATTATATACCCGGTAATGTGATCACCATGGTAAGTCTAGTAACCATCTGTCACCATGCAAAGTTATTACGATGTTATTGACTATACTCTCTGTGCTGTACATTGTATCCCCATGACTTATTTATATTACAACTGGAGGTTATAAAATAACCTTTATTCCCCTTCACCTTTTCACTCATCTCCCACCCCTCTCCCCTCTGGCAACCATCAGTTTATTCTCTATATCTATGAGTTTCTGGGTTTTTTTGGGGGGGGGGTTAGATTCCACATTTAAGTGAAATTATATATATTTGTCTTTCTCTGTCTGATTTCACTTAGCATAATATTCTCTAGCTCTATTTATGTTGTTGAAAATGGCAAGATCTCATCCTTATTATTACTGCGTAATATTCCTGTGTGTGTATGTACGTGTGAGATAGATAGATAGATAGATAGATAGATAGATAGATAGATCTATCTATCTATCTCCATTCATCTATTGATGGATGCCTAGATTACTTCCATATCTATTGTGAATAATGCTGCAATGAACATAGCTTTTCAAATTAGTGTTTTCATTTTCTTTAGATAGATAGCCAGAAGTAGAATTGCTGGGTTATATGTCCTGTTTTTGATTTTTTAAGGAATCTCCATACCATTTTCCATAGTGGCTGCATCAATTTACACATGTGTTCTTTGATCTATTCTAGCTTGCTTTTTTACAGTTGAGGTAATATGTATGTTTGTAAGTCAAAGTCTGAGTCTCTTTCTTGCCTAATAGGTTCTATTATTATAAGCAGGAAGGGTTTTTGGTGGTGAGTGTTTCTTTGATCACAGACATTTCTTTCTTCTGGTTTTTCATTCCTATACCTCTTGCCATCTTGCAAAACATTTTAAAGATACTCTTAGGATGATGGATGAGTGGTAAACTCAGCTTCCTCCCACCCTGTTTTCATGGGTGCCAGTTCGTTAGAATGGTTTTTAGTTGAGTTTAGGTGGAGCAGAATTAAAGGAGAGCAGTGATTACATAGCAACATGGTGGCTGACAGGGCCACAAGTCAGCCTGCCTGTCAGGGAGAGGGACTCCAGAGGAGAGACCCATTGCCTCTTGTATTTGGGAAGACGTTGCTTCTGCAGATGACTCATGGAGCTACTTTACAAGAGATGGCCAGGCTCTGGTGTTGGAGAAAATCATTAATGTACGAGGACATGCTGCCAGGAGATCAAAAGGTAGGACTGGTCCTATGATGAATATCTGCCTGCACCAGACCAGAAGTGTCTTGCCAGGAGCACTATGGAGAAGTGCATATTGAAGTAGTCATCTCGGCTACGTCACCTTCCTAAAATTACAACCCAAGTAGTGCTCTCCATTAAAAAAACAAACCTCAAAGTAGCACACATAGGTTTGCTTGTTCAATTTGAAGGAAGAAACTTGATCTCATTTAAATTTTAGGTAATTTGCGATTCTTTATTTATTGCCCTACCAAATGAATTTATTCCATTACTTGCAAACAGAATAAATTTCACAGGGTAATGTGCAAAGCAACTACACCAGTCAAAAGTTAGAGTCTGTGGGACTACTTTTAATTTTATTTGTGGGAGTGGTTTTTGCATATTTACTGATTTTGGGTGCCACTGGGTGCAATTTTTTTGAAAATAAGCAGAAAAGAAGGTGTTTTCCAGTGGAGTGTCCAACCTGCGCACTGCAAGTGCTTCCAGGGAGGCAGCTTGGCCCCTGGTACCTGTGGGTTTGTGATATTATTTTCAAAGCAGTAGGTTTCCTGTGATTCTTTTTTTCTTTTCTTTTCTTTTCTTTTAATAATAGCTATTGAGATAGCAAATGGTTTTTAATATATTCACAAAGTTGGGCAGCTATCACCGCTATATTTCCAGAACATTTTCATCACCCCAAAAATAAACCCAGCACCTATTTGCAGTCACTCCCCAGTGCCTGACAACCATCTCTTTCTGTCTCTGTGGATTTGGCTGTTCCAGACATTTCATATAAATGGAATCATATAATATGTGGGCTTCTTTGACTCAGCGTAATATTTTCAAGGTTCATTCATGTTGTAGCATGCATAGGACCTCTTTTTATTGCTTTTTATTCCTGAATTCAGGTGATTCCTAATGTTTTCACTTTGATGGATTTTTCTGAATTTTGTTTGTTTCTTTAATAGTCCAAAGTATTAGTTTTCAAACATGTGGCCTTAAATGTGATTGGAAATCTTTGCATTGTAAATAGGCTGCAGTTTTGTTTCAGTGCTGGGTAGTATCATCTTGACAGTGTGGTCAGTGCCGGCCAAGGACGAGGTCAGCCCAGCGCCCAGGACTCTCTCTTCTCTTGAGAACTAACCTTGCTGCCGGTCCCTTTCCAGGTAGAGGAGGCTGATGACTGGCTGCGGTATGGCAACCCCTGGGAGAAGGCCCGGCCTGAGTACATGCTTCCTGTGCACTTTTATGGAAGAGTGGAGCACACCCCTGAGGGTGTGAGGTGGCTGGACACACAGGTACCCACCCCAGCACTTCCCAGGAAGCGTGGGCTGAGCATGGCGACCACTTGGGTATCATCGCCACACTGGCTTGCTTTTGGGAGTAGGAGACATGCACTAGTATGAGCCACCGTAAGCTTCCCCAGAGGACTGAACTGAAGGTAGAAGCCTGGGAGGTTTTCTTCTGCTCATAAATCCAGTTTTTTACATTTTATCAGGAACTGTCCACACAGTGAAAAATACTGAACAAGAAGCCACACTCTGTAGTTTACCAGGAGCTGTGTTAGGGTGGAGACCAGTAGTTGTTTAATGGCAAGCAAGACAGCATTGTGACAGAAACAAGGGCATTGATCCCCTGGGGGATGGAAACAGCTCCCAGCAGGTGCTCAGTGAACTCCCTCACCACACGCTATTGGTCCCAGGTGTGGCCCACAGCACTCAGTAGTGCCCCAGGTGCAGCTCACCAATTACTCTGAGCCCTCAGAAATATGGGGAAGCTTAGGTGGATGTCCTGGAACGGTGCACAGGCTATCCCTCTCAGCAGGGCCCTGATGGTGGGACCACAGCAAAAGCATGGAGTGCTTGGCAGAACATGGTGCCAGCTATAGTGGGGTGCAGTTGCAGAGAGTCCCTTCTGGGCTCAGAGATGGCAGAGAGCATGCATCTTGGTGGTTTTAGAATGCAGAAGGGGTAAAGGAGAGATTTCATGAGAGGAGAATAGTTGCTGTAAGACACAGTCATCTAGTGTTATGGTAGGATAAACAAAAACAGGGTGAGCTGGGAGACTGGGTAGTTGCAGGCATGCAAAAATGAGTCATCCAGATTTTCTGCAACGTAAGTTTTAAAAAGGGTACATGGAGCTAGAGCTAGCTGAAGGCCTATAATGCCATAATAAGTAATATTTAATTTGAAAAAATAAAGAAGGGGTCTGGTTTTCTGAATTCATGTGACTATAGAAGATAAACATGTCAGTGTATGTAAAGAGGTCCGGAGTCTGCTGGGGCCTCCCAGAGTGAATGGGATGAGGGCCTTACCCCCCAGGGCTGGCTGTGGAGAACGAAGAGGGGAGTTGGAGATGCTTTGCAGGGCTTGCCACTGGCTTGGACAAGGCCATGGGTGCAAGAGAGCAGGGGACAGGCAGGGTGAAGGTTGTGGGGAGTTTGGGAGGGAAAGATGACACTGGGGCTTTAACTTGGTGGTACCCTTACACAGTCCTTTGTGGCTTCCAGGGATGACTTCATCTTGTAAAGCCACACAATTGCACTCGTATGAGTCACACATAAACGTGTCTGAGTGTGAGAAGCCTCATCAGAGGGTCCAAAGGTTGGAAGTGACCTAGAGGCTTATACACTTCTTCCTGTGCTTCCCAAGAGCATAGCTGATACTTTTGGGCAGATGGGTATTGGGAGGGGGTGTGGCAGCCTCTGTGGGCAGAGAACAGGCTTTATGTTTTCTTTTGGGTATGGAGTGTGCGGGCTGGTTTGATTCCCTTGAGAGTTAGAGATCAAGGTATTCAACAGAAGGAGCCTTGCTGTGAATGTGGGAATGGATGACAGAAATGGAAATTGTGTATTAGGGGAAATTAGTCGAGTCCTGCAATTGTTCAAGCAGAGTGAGTGAAAAGAGGTGTGGAGGGCAGAGGACGATGACATGGGAGGAATGGCTGCTGAGGGAGCATGAGCCAGGTTAACACATTGGGCCCCCAGCTGAGGTGGGAGTTCTTAAGTCTATGCCATTACTGAAGCAGGTAAATCTAGAAAGACAGTGTGACCTCTGGAGTGTATTTAGTGACTTGCCTGACAGACCTTAACGGGTGGTCCTAGCTTAGGACATCTGTGAGCTGGGGCTGCAGGTACAGATACGCACTGGGGCAGTGAGAGGATCGAGACTATGGCCTGGCGTAGGGCAGGTTGGGTGTGTTTTAGGGAGAAGGAGAAAAGCCAGAAGAGGGTGAGTAGGTGGCCCCCTGGCAGGGAGGCAGAACACTGCTTCCTGTGAGGCTGATGCTGCCCTGTGAGGCTGGTGAACCCAGGACTGGGGACCATGTCTCTGGCTGACTTTATCCTGACTGTCTCTCCCTTGGCCAGGTGGTGCTGGCCATGCCATATGACACGCCGGTGCCGGGCTACAAGAACAACACTGTCAACACCATGAGGCTGTGGTCTGCCAAGGCCCCCAACGACTTCAAGCTCCACGACTGTGTGTTGAACCCTTTTGTCTCTGTTGGGTGACTTATCCTAAACTCACTCACACCACTTTTGTCCCTTCTCTGTGCTCTCATTGCTATGGGCAGAGGGCAGGTTCCTTGTGGTCAGGACACTTCCCAGAGAGGGTCCACTGGCAGGTCCAGCGCTCCAGGCCCTGGGCAGTCAGAAGAAAGTGAGGGGCTTGGGGCCCTGCAGGGCACATGGGCCAATGCGCGTCCAGCATGGCTCTGAGGCGTCTCACATGAGGCAGGCAAAGCGGTAGCTCTGGGGGTACCTTCTGTTCAGACTGCTCAGGGAAGCAAGCACAACACCACAGTATGAGGGCTCATGGGGAGTCTCAGAAGGTGTGCAGGTCCCAACTTGGCCATCTCTGCTCTTAGTTAATGTAGGTGGCTACATCGAGGCAGTCCTTGACAGGAACCTGGCCGAGAACATCTCCAGAGTTCTGTACCCCAACGACAACGTGAGTAGCGCCCGTGGTTGGTTCTTGTCTGCACTGTATCTCTCCAAGTGTAGGCTGGGTCTCTCTACAAGGACCTGTTTGCTGGCCTCATATTTGTCAGGTGAGACCACCTAAGTGATGTCCGAGTGGTTTCGGCTCTTCTAATGCCAATTTCCCAAGAAGTAGGTGACCTATTTGTCAAGTAGGGACAGTAGTCCCTATTTTGCAGTGACATCTTGAGACATATGACAATTATGCTTTGAAAAGCTCTTAGCGGACCTCCACCTCAAACTAGATAAAAGTAGCAGCCACATTCTCCATTGCCCCTGAATTTAGTGTCTGCTGGCATTTTTGTTGTTGCCAGAGAGCCCTTGAAATTTGCCTGTCTTAGTGGGCCATGTGTTTCTTCATTTTATCAAATATGTACACATAGTAACAAAGGCCATTGGTCCTGCAAGGCTCAGAGTAAAATGCCCCATATGCCCTCCAGAGATTATGAACGGATTCTAAAGCTTCAGGCACGAGGCATTTTTAGAATGAAGTTTGGAGATTGCATTACTGGGTGGCTCTGGTATTCCTGGTGCTCAGCTTCTCACTGTTAAGGGACTAGACCTTCTTGCCCAGTGCCCTCATGCAGGACAATGTGACCTTTTGCTGGCCGCTCTTGTGTGTGCTCCTCCCCTGTCTGATGATTATAAGCAGGTTAGACCACTTTGACCCTCTGTCTATGCCTTGAGCAAGTCACCTGACATCTGGGCCCCCAGGATTGTGGGGGCTGGGGCATTAGCACCATGTTGGCACTCAAGGCTCTCCTTTCATCCACACACACATTTCTGCAATCCCTGGGGCAGGACCCTGCCACCCAAGCCTAGTGCCTTATCCTGGGTCCTGTGTGTGTGTGTGAGGGGGTGGGGGGAGTCCCTGAGGGCCTGTGGTGGCTCTAATAGCTGAATTGTTGCAAAAGCTGTCCTGTGTCTGCAGTTTTTTGAGGGGAAGGAGCTCCGCCTGAAGCAGGAGTACTTCGTGGTGGCTGCCACTCTGCAAGACATTATCCGCCGCTTTAAGTCCTCTAAGTTCGGCTGCCGGGACCCAGTGAGAACCTGTTTTGAGTCATTCCCGGACAAGGTTTGTTGATTTGGGGATTGAGCTCAGTGTGGAAGGACATGATTCTCTCAGGCTTGGTTTCTTCCACAAGGCTGGGGCATGGGCAGGAGGGGCATGGGTGGGATATCAGCACCCCCTCATCTTGGTCTCCTTGTTATGGGGTGGCGGTGGGCCCCCTTCTTCCCTAAACAGGGCCACATTGGGCCTCATTAGGAGTCAAGGCAGCAAGGACACTGTAAAAGGCTCCGTGGGCATAGGCGGATGTGTTTGGCAGGCTCAGTTCAATGATATTAAACAAAGTCAACATATCCTAGAGGAGAGGGCCTCAGGCAGTGGGGCCAAGGGTCCTGCAGCTACAGAGCCAGCCCATGGGTTCTCCTGGTCCCTCTCTATGGTCCCTTGGGCCCTGCTCCTGTTCCTTGGCTGGTTTTCAAGCTGGGCCCAGTGCCTGTGTGGTGCTGTCTACTCCCTGCTGTTGGCCCTGTAGACCAGACTCCTTGGCGGGAGGCTGAGGACCCTAGGCCTCCACACACTGACCATGTGAGCCCACTCCATAGGTGTGAGGCCATTGAAAATGTCACCCTGTGTGAACTTCAGGTTGCCATTCAACTGAATGACACCCACCCGGCCCTCGCCATCCCTGAGCTCATGCGGATCCTGGTAGATGTGGAGAAAGTGGACTGGGACAAGGTGAGCACTGAGGACAAGGGGTGGAGTGACTGTTGCCTGCAGATGTAGGTGTAGGGGTGACAGCATCCCCAGCAGAGCTGGGCATATGGAGTGGTGGTGCCCCCTGCAGACCTGGTGTAGGAGTGATAGCACCCTGCAGAGCTGGGCACATGGGGTGACGATTTTTCCTGCAGAACTGGATACATAGAGGTGATAGTGTCACCTGCAGAACTGGGCACATGGGGGTGATGGTGTCCCCTGCAGAGCTGGGCACAAGGTGTGGCAATATCCCCTGACCTTATTGTCTGTCCCAGCAATGGTTGTGAGTACTGAGCTAGTCCTACAACACTGAGGGAGGCCTCTCCCCTATGACTTTGGCAAAATGGAGGGACATTGTCCCTGAGAAGCCAAGGGCTGTGGGGAGGAGAACAAAGTTGCAAGAGTGGGTCTAGGGTTTCTCTCGAGGGAACTGGGGCACAAGGATACAGAACAGCAATTTTTTGGAAGATAAGAAGAGGATTCTGACACTTTTTAGGGCTTCTCGTCTGTATTTTATCTTGGAAATCATGGTTTAAAAAAAAAACCCAGAAGTATTAAGTTTTAAAAAATAAGTTGTTTACATTTTCATAGGTTTGTTTTCTTTAGTTAGTGGTGTATTCTTTACCTAGTCTAATTAAATCAACATGTGAAACCATAAAACAAATATTACCCCACTTATAGAACCCAGAGCTCCTCTGTGGTCCTGGGGTGTACCTGATGGGGCTGGGCAGCCCCACCCGGGTCCTTTCCACTCCTGGCCAGGAAAGGGCAGGGCCACACAGTTTATGAGTGTTCTCCAGACTGTGGTGTGAATCAGTTTAGTGGAAATAAAATAGAAAACTGTTCAGCACTGTGTTTTGTTTACTAGTAAAAAATTGTTTACAAAAAAAGGAAACAGGTGATTCTAGGCAGTAGGGTAAGCTTTATTCGTTTGTGTGTGTGTGTGTGTGTGTGTGCGCGCGCGCGCTGGTTCAGGATGTAAAATGTATGTGGGTCGTGTCGGGAAAGTTAAGGGTATGGGGCTCATCTGCAGGTTTTGAGGAATGTTCTCCACATACCCTAGAGAGCTGAGGCATGTGGCTGGCTGGGCCCTTTTCTCAAGGTGAATGTCTGCCTTTGATCCTAGACTTTCCCTTTGCTTAGGCATCTGGCAAAAGAGCTACTTGTTTCTAAACAAAGCACACTGAAATGTTCTGTAATATTCCAGGCCTGGGAAATCACGAAGAACACTTGTGCATACACCAACCATACTGTGCTGCCAGAGGCCTTGGAGCGCTGGCCTGTGTCCATGTTTGAGAAACTACTACCACGGCACCTGGAGATCATTTATGCCATTAACCAGAGGCATCTGGACGTGAGCACCAGTCATGTTGGGGTGGGGGCAGGGATGGTAGGCTACACTTGCACCAAGGGGCCATCCTCTGTCCTCCATGTTACTTCTTGAACAGAATAGCCTCTGTGTAGAGGACATTGCAGTCTGCGGGCTGTCACCTGGCAGAGCTGTTGGCTAGTCTGCACACCTAAATCCCTGCTGTGTACATGGGAGTCGTAGATTCAGGTCTTTTTAAAACATCCCCGTTCCTTATTGGGGTTAGGTTTAAGTGTCTGTTCCTGGAATGCCAGAGACCTTTATCCTGAGAGGACAGAGCAGCAACTGGGTGCTTTGGAAATGAAGCCCCATTTGTCTTTGTTACCTGCGGAGAGATTAAGGGTACAAGAACGAGGGGAACTTAGAATTCAGCTGTGATTATAGTTCATTTTTTAACTGTTTAGTGAAAAGGCAGCTGTTTCCACTGTCAAAATGTGGTTACACCCCACCTAGGCCAACAGAGACAACATTCTTGTCTTTTCCTTGTAAGTCACATGGCATGACCTTAGCACCGCTGGTCCTCATCTGCTACTGACAGAGCCACTCTGTTGAGTCCTCAGGCCAGGTCCAGGCTTTTCCCTGGGCTGAGGCAGTGTGGAAGGAGTGGCTCACAGAGGTGCGTCCAGGGTACTTGAGTGCAGGTCTAGGGTACAACAGCTCTGGGATTTTCTTGGAGGAAACATAACTTTTCACAGGGAGCCTCTGGGCCACTGTGGGATATCCTGCATTACTGCTCACAGCTCTCTTTCTTGGCAATAGCATGTGGCTTCCCTGTTTCCTGGAGATGTGGACCGCCTGCGGAGGATGTCTGTGATTGAGGAAGGAGACTGCAAGCGGATTAACATGGCCCACCTGTGTGTGATTGGGTCCCATGCTGTCAATGGTGTGGCGAGGATCCACTCAGAGATCGTGAAGCAGTCAGTGTGAGTGGGAAGAGTGTTTGCCCCGAGCCAGGGCGTACCTCCTTTCTGACCCCAGACCTGCTTCTAGGGACTGTTGGCTGCCCATATGCACAGGGGCTGAGGCATATGGAACATGCTCTACACCAGGGGTCCCCAATCCCCAGGCCATGGACTAGTATTGGTCCATGGCCTGTTAGGAACTTGGCCACACAGCAGGAGGTGAGCAGTGGGTGGGCAAGCAAGCGAAGCTTCATCTGTATTTGCAGAGGCCCCCCTGTGTTAGTATCACCGCCTCAACTCCACCTCAGATCATCAGACATTAGATTCTCGTAGGAGCACTGGTGTCTGGTGCCAGAAGGGTTGGGGACCACTGCTCTGCACCATTATTGTGTTGCCCTCGTGGGCAATGGCTGAACTGTCCAAAGCACACCAGCCAGCAGGTGATGTTGGGTTGCTGAGCCTTCTCCTTATCACCTTATGGCTACTCTTATTTTCTACATTCTTGATCTGTTCAGGCAGAGCCTCTGCTCCTAGAGCCGTCTGCCACTGGCCCCGTGCCATGAGCACCTCACCTGGGGATGTGTGTCCTGACTTAGGTAAGGGGGAAGTTAGGGTGTGGGCTAGAGCTCATCACTGTGAGAATGGAGGAATTCTTAGATCAGATCTTGTGCTTTCCATCCCCTCTTGGTGGGATGTGATTGTGGAGTTCCTTCCATTCCTGTATCTCCGTGAGCGCTAGGCAGGCCTAGACCAGGTCTATCCATGAGGAGGCCTGTGTGTTCCCAGGGCCTGCCCAAGGGCTTTAACCCTACAATAGACTTATCAGTGGAGGATCCCCATTATACAGATGAGGAAACTGAGCCCTGATTTCTCTACTGTCATGATCACGCTGGTCAAGTCGTGCTACGTATGCAGTGATAGCTAGCCCTGGGGTGCATTAAAAAGCATGTGTTGCATGCCCATGGTTCTGAGAGCATGAAATATGCTGACTGCTCTGTGTTCTTTAGAAAACAAAACAGGAAAACTGAGCTTAGTTTTGGGAGCTTCCAGGAATTTCCTTACAAGGTCCTTCTGTTCTTGCTCACCTTGTTCAGAACACAGCATTTGTGACTGTTGCCTGTTTTCAATGGTTTTAGTTTCAAGGATTTTTATGAGCTGGAGCCAGAGAAGTTCCAGAATAAGACAAATGGCATCACGCCCCGACGGTGGCTGCTACTCTGTAACCCAGGGCTGGCTGACACCATTGTGGAGGTGAGATTGGCTCACTGAGTCAGTGGGGAGCTTTGGGCACAGTTAGAGCCACAGCTACTGCCTGCCTTGTGTCAGAGGGTAGAGTAGGCAGTAACGTGCTTCTTTGTGTGTGGACCAGGAGTGGCTCCTGGATGGGAGTAGGTGGGGTCCAGCTGCTGCCCTGGGACATGAGAGTGCTGGGCTAGGCTGGACAGTCAGTCAGTGGCCTCTGGGGCCTGTGGAGGACTTCAGAAGCGAAGTCCTGGGCTTTGAGAAGGGCTGAGGTAGGGCCGTCTGACCGAGCGGCAGCCATAGACCCACAGCTAGAGAGATTTTGTGAGCCAGAAACATGGTAGTTGATTGACTTGTTCATATATGCTCACTCAGGACAAAAGGAAGTGAGCCTTCGTACATACCAGGAGGTACGCTAGGCTTGAGGATGCTACTGGGGGTATGGTGTCGGGGGTGAGGACCTGTCATAGGGACGCTGCCTGGGTGGGAAGGCACAGGGGAGCTGAGATTGGCAGAGTGAGTAGAAGGGAGCTGAAGGCAGAGGCGTGGGTGAGAAGACAGGAGGATGTGTCAGAAACGGAGAGAAACATTTCCTTTATGATTCTCCAGAAAATCGGGGAGGGTTTCCTGACCGACCTGAGCCAGCTGAGGAAGCTGCTGCCCTTCGCCAGTGACGAGGCGCTCATCAGAGACGTGGCCAAGGCCAAGCAGGTGGGCCCGTGCGCAGACCGCAGCAACTGGCCCTGCTGCCTCCGACTGGGGGCTGGGCAGCGGCCCTGCCTGTTCCAGGTGTTGGGGCCCAGGAGCTACACAGTCCATCTACTCCACTCAGCTTTTCACATGGGGACCTAGCCGACCTCAGGTCATGCAGCAGCCAGGCAGGCAGGTGGTGGGCAGGTGAGTGTAGACCCTCAAAGTGGCCTTGAGAACACCTTCACCCGAAGTTCCGTAGGAAAAGCTTGTCTAGAGGGAAGTGCTAGGAAAGCTGATTTACATCTGTGCACCCGAGCCTCTCAGCACTGCAGCCAGCCTCGCAGCTCCACAGGCTGGGATCACTGAGACCTTTCAGACCAAATGTGGCAGCCTTGTTGGAGAATGAGGACTGACCCGAGACACCATGTGCTCCCCAACCTGCCTCTGCACCATGCCCAGAAATAGCCCTTCAGTTTTGAAGTGTCTCACTCCTCAGTCATTTCTCTCCTTGACTGCACCCATCTGTTTCCTGGTATGCCACACTCACTGGTTTCCTTTTATTCTGCTTTTCTTATCGTTTGCTTTTCTTCAGGTTTGCTTTTTGGTCTAGTTTTCCGTTTATTTCTGTCAGTGGTGGTGCATATCCACTTTAAAGATCACGCTTTCCCCACCCCCACTTCTCACATGGCCACCACCCCTCAGCCCCTCAGCTCTGGTCTTCCAGTCTCCATGTTCTTCCTGTGGGGCAGCAGCGAACATCCTGGGAGCCCCCTCCCTGCCACGTTTCTGACATAGGGACAGAGAGACCTCAGCCCAGGTGGAAAGCTGAGCATTAGTTGGACGCTGGGGAGTTATTGGGATTCGTTCCTGTGAACCGTCCAACTGTCCTTTCCCTTTATTCTCCCCAGGAAAATAAGTTGAAGTTCTCTGCCTTCCTGGAGAAGGAGTACAGGGTGAGAATCAACCCTTCCTCCATGTTCGACGTCCATGTGAAGAGGATCCACGAGTATAAGCGGCAGCTGCTGAACTGCTTGCACATCATCACCCTGTACAACCGTGAGTGCAACTGCTCGCTCTCACTAGCTCGCCCCGGGGCCTTTTCCTCACACGGTTGGGAGAAGAGAGGACTGTGTGTGACATCACACATTTATTTGAAGCAATAGTTTTATGTTTTTCTATGTACTCAGTGCCAGAGTACTTACAAAGGAGTGAAAGGTGAGCTCTGTCTCCAGCCTGGTTGGGGTACAGACCTGAGCTATATGAGGCAGGCAAACAGTTAAATGCCTCAGAAGGAGCCTCAGGTAGTCAGCGTGGGGCCCGATGTGAGGGAGCTTCATGAGACTTGAAGGCTAGGCTTTATGTTCAGTTCAGCTTTTATTTTAAATTTACTTGCCATCTTTATTAGACTTGTCTTGAGTTATTTAGAAAGATTTTACTTATTAGAGGCATTTAACATATACTTATAGAAAGCAAAGTAGTATGTTAAATTTATATATGTACCTTAAATATTTAAGTAGCATTTAAACATGAGAGCAAATGTGAATCAAAGACCCTCTACAAGTAAATATGAAGAATTGTCGGGTTTACAAACATAATAATAAAACCTTAAAGGAATAGCTTAATTTTTAAGGTTTTTGTAATATAATAAAGTAAACATTAATTTTGAATACCGAAGGAACCACAGATACTGTTTTCAAAATAGAAAGCTCCTCTTAAGAACATTACAGCGCCTGTTACCAGTAAGGCTCCATCAGGTAGAGGCATCCAGTCCCTTGTGAGATAGTTGAGTAACAGGATAGATAACATTTAGGCTTGAGTGTTTTTGATGCTTCTGACCCCAAACCTTCAGAGAAGGCTGCAGGTGAGGACCCTCCTGTGTGTGGCTGAAAGAGGCACTTCACTACATTTCCCTGGCCAGAAAGTCATTCACAGAGACCTTGTTCAGTTTTATTTGCTATGTTTTCCTTTTGCAGTCATGATTTTCTGTATTTTCTTCATCATTTCCCCAGTGGTATCCCTGAGTCCCCTCCTTGAACACAGTTTATGAACAGCAATGAATCACTGGGTGCCCTTTCCTTCCTCTCTCTGTGGCCTACCTCACGTCAGGAGTCTCTCTGTCACCTCTTGGTATGTGCCTTTGTACTTCATCATGCACTCCTCCTGCTGGGCTTGTCGGCGGTAAATGACACCCTGTGATCCCCAGTTGTTCCAGTGAGGCAGTCAGGGGCTTGTGCTCAGTTCCTCCTCGTTCACCTCCCACTGCCTCTGCGCATGTGCGCATGTGCGTGCAGGTGCTTTCTCCATGGTCAGGCATATGATATTGACACTGCTTTGCCATCCTCATCCTCAACGTGTTTTTGTCTTAGTGTGTGGATGAACACATTCAGTTCTCACCAGTGAAATTGCAAAGCAGTCCTGCTTGGATTAACTAGTTCGTGACGTCTCTCCCATGAACCTCACTCTCTGAGTTTTTCCTTGTTGAGGACAGTCTTTGGCCTTTCAGTATGAAGGATGGTTTGAAGGTGACATTCTCAGTTCATTTTCTTTCCTTGAGCATCTTTTAGATCCCTGTGCTCCTCTGTCTAGAGAGTGGGTTCTGGTGTGTTTTGGTCTCACAAATGAGCTGGTCTCATTGTCTGTGCTAATTTTACTGTCCTGTGTGGATGCTGGCTGCTGTTGGTCAGTTTCCCTGATGCTGAGGGCGCTCTTTGAATATGTCGATTGCTGTCTTGCGTTATTTCATGGAAGTTTTCTTGAGATATGTTTAAAACATTTGTTGGTGCCATTATTTGGGTTTTCTTCTTCTAAGAGTCTGGCGAGGGGGGCGGGAAGGTTTCTTCTACCTACCTCTCCTTGCCTGTCGATTTCTCTCTGAATATTTCTAAAGGTCTTTCCTTTTCTGTTAGGTTCTCTGGTCTTTTTGTTTCCATTCTCTGAGTGTCTGCTATGCCTTCGGTGAGTCTACTCTCTCTCTTAGCTTCTGTAATTAGGTTTTATTTACATGTGGCAGTTTTGCTTTTGTGTTCTGCCAATTCTCGCTTCATGTGCTTCCATGTTTTGCCCTCTTCTGAGGTCTTGTATTTTGGCTTTTTGGTCCCCTTTCCACATTGACAGTCATTGTAGGTTGGATGACAGGGAGGTTGGTTCTACTTCCCCCTGTCTGAAGAGAAGCTGTGTTCATGATTATCACTCCTAGATGAGTGAGCTATACTGCCCAGGATGACCATCAGGAGCTGCATGGGACTCCAGGCAGCTGCAGGGTTCCCCGGGGCCTGGTGCCTCTTTGTGGCTGCATCTCCTCTGTATCTTCTGAGACCAGCTGGCTCGGGACGCTCCTCTTCCTGGCTCCCTTGGTTTCTGCCCTGTGGGCCTCTGTCCACCAGGATGTCAGATCCTCTTCCCGCAATTTCCCTATAGGAGAGGTGCTGATGAGGTTGGCCTCCCTGGCCCTTTGAGCCTCCTTCCCTGTCATGCTCATGGCCCCTCTGGGGAGGTCAGCTCCCAAGACCCTTGTATTTGTAGCCCGGTGCCCCACCTACCCTCATGACCTGACACTACTTGTTTAATGGTCTAGGGTTCACATGTTTTTCCTCTTTTCTACTTTTGGTGAAAATGTAGTTTGTGTTTTTATTTTTTCCTGTTATTCTGATTTCTGGAAGTGGGAAGATTCAGAAGTAAGGGACAGCCATGTTCCTACTGGAACCTAAAAATCAGATGCTAAAGGTCAGCCACAACTCTATATTGCTTATGACTGGTTCCTGGCTCTCCAGTGAATGATATCTAGGGCTGCCTCTCACCCATGATACCTCCCAAACACACTGAAATTGAAAACCAGTGGCCTGGCTAGGACACCCTCAGTTTGCTGAGACTGAAGGTGAGCTGGCCATTGTAGCCTGACCCTCTGTCTGCCCCAGTGCAGGAGAGCTTCAGGAAAGGAGTGGGGGGGGGAACTTGGGGCCTTGCCTGACACCCTTGAGGACTGACAGTGACATTACCACAATCCTGAGGTCACCTCTTTTTCGATGCTCACCATGTGCAAGGGGCCTGGGTACTAGTGACCAGACCCAAAACCAGCCTCCTCTGTTGCTCCAGTGAATGATATCTAGGGCTGCCTCTCACCCATGATACCTCCCAAACACACTGAAATTGAAAACCAGTGGCCTGGCTAGGACACCCTCAGTTTGCTGAGACTGAAGGTGAGCTGGCCATTGTAGCCTGACCCTCTGTCTGCCCCAGTGCAGGAGAGCTTCAGGAAAGGAGTGGGGGGGGAACTTGGGGCCTTGCCTGACACCCTTGAGGACTGACAGTGACATTACCACAATCCTGAAGTCACCTCTTTTTCGAGTGCTCACCATGTGCAAGGGCCTTGAGTACTAGTGACCAGACCCAAACCAGGCTCCTCTGTGGGCTGTTCTGGAAATAGAGGTGCAGCTTTTCCTGTTAGACTTTGGAAGAGTCTGCTCCTGGTGGCCTTTCTCACCACCCTGGGACATAAGTGCAGAATCTAGGGGCCTCGTCCCTCTTCTGGTGGGTGTGTGGGGCCCAGTGGCTACTACCTACCACCTGTGTCGAGGTTGACCTCTGAGGATACTGGTATGTAATAGGGCAGGGGATTTTCTGGCTCCAGTTGCCTCACTTGAATCTCTTATTTGTCCTGCAGGAATAAAGAAGGACCCTGCCAAGGCCTTTGTGCCCAGGACTGTCATGATCGGAGGCAAGGTAGAGATGATGTCCTCTTTGCTTGTTATTTGTTCAGAATGCACAAATCACCATGCTTTTCAGCAGTGTCACTGTGTTCTGACTTGGGCACCAGTCGCCCACTGGGCTGGACACTGCAGTAGCTTAGAGCCAGCATTCACACAGAATGCTGGAGGTTTCTTGGCCTCTGGGTGTGACTGTGGGCCAAGTCAGTTTAATTTTCATCAGCTCAGCAATATGAAGGAGCTGGATGTGACCCGCGCCTGCTCAGTGCATCAGATTGGGGGTCCCCAGCCTTGAGGGCAGCCCCCAGTGGGCTTGCTGGCCCCTCTATTTGGTGGGGTGGTACCTTTTCTCTGCATAACCACCACCCTTCCACACTGTGCCCAGCTTTTGGTCCTCAGCTCGCACCCCACCTCCCACTCATGTGTTGAGAGGATGCTGGTCACTGGCTGCTTTGTTGACCAAATGTGAGCCTGCCCTAGGCTCAGCCTGGCCTTATTTCATTTTGTTTACAGTAGCATATATTTTACACATACTATTGTGGAGTCTAGCGTATTGCCATCAAGGCATTGGCAGGTCTCACCATCACACTCTGCTGTCTTGGGCTGGTGGCCCAGCCTCTACCACTTTTCCCCAGCAGGCTGGTATCATTAGAGAGTGTGAATTGCTCTGGGGAGTGTCTTCTTTATGGGGGCCACGGGATGGAGCCAGGCTCCTCTACTCTGATTGGAGCATGTATGGAGGTGGATGGGAGGTTTGTGCCCCTCATTAAGCTCACCAGCTTTGGACAGCAGCGCCCACCCACGCAGTCTGGTCTCGGGCCCTCACCCAACTCCTGCCATTTCTGGAGCACGTTCTACACATCATCTTGTTTCATGTGTCAGTATTTCAGTGTGTATGTCTTCAAGATATGGACTTTCAAACAATTTTAAAAATTCTAATTATTAAAAATGTCAAGCCTAGAGAAAAGCAGGAAAATCTGTAGAACATCCACTTCTGCTGGGCTGTTCCACAGTGAACCACAGACATTAGGACATTTTACCCCTCAGGACTCCACACGTCCTCACAATCTTTTTCCCCTAAACCGCAGTACATACAGACTCTTGAACACCACCACACAAGATCATTGTCATACCTAGATATTAGAATTACACATATATTCAGCAGTTCGTTTGAATCAGGACCATGGTTAGGGCTAGCATAATGATTGCTGGCTGTCTTTTAAATCTCTTCATCTGTACGTTTTCTCCATGTCTCTTTTTTTGCACCCTGTAGTTATCTTTGTTATAAAAATTGAGTGGCGTGTTGTCCCCAACTGGCTTTTTCTGACTGTATCCTTCTAGTATGGTACAGTTTGTTCCTTAGTTCTCTGTATTTCTGAAAGTTGGTAGTCAGTTATAACAGTCCTGTTCCTTTTATTTCTGAAAACTGATTAGAATCAGAAAACAAGCTTAAAACTGACAGATTTTTGCACATGATGAGGTGGTCTTCATGGGATGCACTCCATCAGAGCCGAGGGAGAGCAGGTGGGGTGTCGCACTGGGTAGAGTTACAGGTTCTTTTGTCATGAGTCCTGTCTCCCAGATTATATGGAGGACATGTAAGGATCCTATGGCCTTAGTCCCTCTGGAGAGCCACTCCTCACTGATACCAGGGGGCCGCTCTGTGAGGTGTGACCTCAGCATGTCCAGCACCAGGCTCTGACGAACGGTAATGATGCCAGTCCCCAAGCACAGGCGTGTTCATACTGAACCTTCCTCCCCCTTTCTAGGCAGCCCCTGGTTACCACATGGCCAAGATGATCATCAAGCTGGTCACGTCCATCAGTGATGTTGTCAACCACGATCCAATTGTGGGCGACAGGCTCAAAGTGATCTTCCTAGAGAACTACCGAGTGTCGTTGGCCGAAAAAGGTAGCCCTGGGGAGGCTGCATTACATGGGAAAGCCTGCCCTTGCCTGGGTGCAATGTGGATGGTCGTTGCTCGTTAGGGGTTAATTCTGCCCTGGATACCAGGCTCCCCAGCCAAAGGGGTGCCTTGGTCTAGCATTGAAAGGCTATGGGGAGCTCTCTATCCATCCTCAAGTGTGGAGAATTACTCTCAGCCTTGGATGTCCTTTGTCTCTGTACTTTCTCACTCCTATCCTGATCTCATTTTCTCTCCCCTTTCCTCTCTCCTTGGCCTCTCAGTTTTGCCTTTCTGCTGCTGGGTTTGCTCTTGCTGGCAGGATGTACTTCCACATGGCTTTCCCTTCTCTCCCCCATCCTTCCCACATCCTCATAGGATGCTTCTGCTCATCACCACCCACTCTCAAGAGCATTGCCTGCTTCTCACCTGGGCCAGCACCTGCCTCTTCTGTCCTTTCCAAGGGCAGCTCAGGGCCTGAAGTCTCTCCCTGCTCTATTGAGAGTTCAGTCTGGGGCCACTCCAGCTTGGGGAGTTTTGAGGAGACTCGCCTAGGATGTGTGCTACTGCTTGGAGAAGGTTCTGAAGAAGGTTCTACAGCCAAATGTGCCTTGGAGCATGCTTTCCTGATCTGGATGGCCCTTTCAAAACTGGTTGCTTTCTGGAGACCCTGGTGGGGAAGTGTCTGTCCAACCTTATGGCAGAAAGCTGAGCCTGAAATTCTGGCACCAAGGAGCAGGCACTTCTGTGATTCAGACAGACCACTTGCTGCTTCCTGTGCTTTGGCTGAGTAAAGATGTGTAGGCTGATGTGTTCCCTCCTCCTGCCAGCTTGGCCGGTTCATCAGAACCATCCCTGTGGTCCCCACTGCCGTGGACCATGTGTGGTTCAGTTGGTGTTGTGGTTAGTCCTTCACTGAGTTTCTAACACGTCTTAAAGCCATTGCTGCTTGGAACTGCCCTTACACTGTTATTTGGGGCAGGCTTCTTTATAACCGACCTTTGGGGTGCCCAGTCTGGGGCCTCAGACTTAGGATCAGGGCCCCTACATTCTCCCCCAGCTCTTGGACTTGCTGTGGCAACATGTCCACTGTCACATTTACTGTGTCCCTCTGCCCATGGGGCAGGCCTATATGAAGGCTGAGATGTCTGTGTCTGACATCTGCCCTGACACCTGGGCTTGACCTTGAAGAAGAGCTGGGCTCTGGTCTTGCTGGCTTTGAGTGCCAGCCATTGGGTCAGGGAAGCATCAGCTCCACAGATGAGCTGAGGATGTGGGAGCAGGGATGCCAGGGCAGGTAGGACAGGGAACCGGTGCTCTGCAGAAGGTGCAGGGCTATCTCTGCATACAGCATAGAGTAACTCCTGTGCATGTTAACACAAGGAAATTGCTGCCCCCCATTTTTAGTCTTCTGGTTCCATAAGAGTCCAGATTCCTCTTGAAGTGATCTAAAGAGCCTTATGGGCTGGCTTATATAAGACAAAAGTGGTATTGGGATGAATCAGAATGATAACACCAACAGGCCAGGACCAGGGACCCCAGCAGGCTTTGATTGGGTCCTAGTCCCTGGAAGTTTCCAGAACATAGGTCCTTTGCCATCTGCGGGGCTTCTCAGGAGACCCCTCTTGGGCCCTCTGCCTCAGGTCGCCGTGGATCAAGAAGGAGAGCTTTTACAGGGAGCAAAGTGTTTCTTGCTGTCCCATGGCTCATGTGTGAGTAGTTGGTGGCTGACATACCTTCTTGTGTTATCTCCCTCAGTGATCCCTGCTGCTGACCTGTCACAGCAGATCTCCACTGCGGGCACTGAGGCCTCGGGCACAGGCAACATGAAGTTCATGCTCAATGGGGCCCTCACCATCGGCACCATGGATGGTGCCAACGTGGAGATGGCTGAGGAAGCTGGGGCCGAGAACCTCTTCATCTTTGGCCTGCAGGTGGAAGATATCGAGGCCCTAGACCAGAAAGGGTGTGTGCCCCTCCCCATGGCAGCATCCTGCCTAGAGCCCCACGGAGGGCCAAGAAGGGCTCTCAGGCCAGGCCTTTGCTTGCTGGGGTGAATGCCCACCCAGAGAGTGGGGGATGGATGGCTGTGGGCACACTGGCCTTGTCTGCTCACTTCCAGAGCACCAAGTAGGCTGTCCAGGGAGGCCTGTTTGGGCGAGAGCTGGCTGCTCTGTGCTTCTTCATGGTCCAGTCTGAAAGGTCCAGACCAAGCGTTTTCAAAAGAGTGAAAGGCTCTGGTTTCTGAGGGGATCTCTCATGGACAGGGCCCTGAACACTCTTGACTGATTTGGGGATTTGAGACTGGCTCACTGCTGAGATTCCCTGGCCTAATTTCTAAAATAACCTTTTTTTTTTTTTCTAGAAATAGTTTTAAATTTACAGAAATGTTGCAAAGACAATACAGAGAATTCCACATATTCTTCCAATATTCCCTGCTGCTTACACCTTACTAATTAGTGTGGAACACTATCAAAATTAATCAACCAATAGTATTATGCTTTTATTTATTAAAGTCCATACTTTATTTCACCTTTTCCCCATAAATGTCTTATTATTTTCTGTCCCAGGATCTGAGAATCCAAGGCACCCCCTCTGGTCTCTGACAGTTTCTCAACCTTTCCTCATTTTTCATGACCTTGGATACTCTTGAGGAGTCCTGGCCCTGGCCTAATTCTGAGCAATAATTAAAAGAAAAGGTAGTGATGCCTAATTGCCTAAAAGCCCTCAGGGGAGATGGTGAGGCCTCAGGCACCAGATGGGTAAAAACAAAATGTTACCCAAGAAGTCGGAACTATGTCCTTATCAACCTGAGAGCATATACCTGCCATTTTCTACCCACCTCATTTGGGCTCTTTGTGCCCCATCCCTATGTCCTGGGATGTACACATCTGCCAGATTCCTCCCTTTCCCAGACTTCCTGATGGCCATGGACTTGCTGGGTCCACAGAGTTGGGGCCAGGAGTGGGAAGGGCAACAGGGAGGGTGTTGGGGGCAGGGGCAGGAGGGCGGGGTGGAGATGCAGAACACTGTAAGTTCTTAAGGAGCCCTCTCTCATGGGAATATGATGGAGCCATGTGTGTCATTGTGTGTATTCAGGGACTACAGTTCTATAAACAGTAAAGGGAGCAGGTGGGATTTGCACTCATAGCACATCACTCCCCCTCCAGGGCCTAGCAGCCCACATGGCTAGCAGCCGCCTTGCCAGGCCAGCTGGAGCCTGGGGCAGTGCTGGGCCAGGGGTGTGCCCATCGCCTGTCATGAGGCTGCAGCTTGGAGATACTGGGCTGGCAGCTAACTTGACCCACCTCCCCACAGGTACCATGCCCAAGAGTACTATGACCGTCTGCCAGAGCTGAGACAGGCTGTGGACCAGATCAGCAGTGGCTTCTTCTCTCCCAAGGAGCCAGACTGCTTCAAGGATGTTGTCAATATGCTGATGAACCATGACAGGTAGGACTGGCCTCCCTTTGGTCCCTATGTCCCTCCCTACCAACGAGTCAGATAGATGGGTTCGTTGGTAGGCTGAAGCCTGCCTTTGTTGGGAGTGAAATCTTACCTTGGTGAGGCTTGTTCCCACCCTTCCCCAACCTCAGCCCATGGGCAGATCCTGAGGCCATGGACCTGGAGAAGTTCTGCTACGCCCAGGGCCAAAGCTTGCAGTGGCCACTGATGGTGCTTGGTGGGCTGTGGGGGGGTCTTAGTGGTGGGAATTATCAACTGCATGGTCTAGCCCCAGGCCCCCAGCACCAGCTGACCACCCGGATTGGTGCAATAAGCAGGAAGTGGTATCACATGGGCTGATTGGAGGCAATTCTTGAGCCCTCTCCAATAAGAGGGGGAGTGTGGACAGGACACAGAAACCTCTGGGAGGCAAGTAGGGGCTGAGTATGACCTTGGAGCAAATGTGGGTTCATAGTGACACAAAGTGGTTAAAATGATGAAAATAACTTATAGCATAAATTGCAGTGTAGTGTTTTATTACAATTAAATTGATACATGAATATAACTCACCTTCAGTTACAGACTTACTAACTTGGAACAGGTTGGCAGCGCCATTTGCCATCTTCACAGTTCTTTGCTCCACTCTGTTGGTAAAAATTGAGTCTGGTGAATGCTGAGAATTGACCCCTGTTCCACTTTCAGTTAGTTGTGTCTGGGTTAGTTTCATCTGTTTCATTTTAATGAATGCTGTCCTCTGGCTTCAGCCAAATCAGAGCATAACCACATAGGTGCTGGAGCTGGGAGTTTGGCTCTGGCTGAGGTCTGTGATCAGGGAAAGACTTTTAATAGTTTTATGAATTGTGTTTCTGACTCAATTGTAAACAAAAATGCATTTCTGTATTCATAAATCCTACATTTTTTTTCCAGAACATACTTTTCCTACATCACCAGTTCTCAGCCCAGTTAGACCTGAAAACAGACAGGCACACAGAGCCTGTTTGTTGCCTGCCATTCCTGTGCCCCTCCCACAGGAGGTGAAAGGCAGGAAGCCTCTCAGCTGTGCAGCTCTAACCCATGTGCATGAGGAGAGTGCATTATAAACAGCAGTTTCTTTAAAGGACCATTGGGTTAAAATAAGACTTTTTGAGAAGTGTCCTCAAGACAAAAGTGTTGCTCAAAGTGCAGCCTCTGTGGCCAGGTGGGCTCCATCACCCCAGAGCGTGAGGATACAGACAACTGCGGCCTGGTTTCCTGATCTCCTGTCTCCTGTTTCAGGTTCAAGGTTTTTGCAGATTATGAAGCATACATGGCATGCCAGGCCCAGGTGGACCAGCTGTACCAGGTAAGGTTCTCGGGCCCCAGAACTGGTGGAGGTGGCCCTAGTGGGGAAACAGTGAGGCACATCTGCATCCTACTGTCTTGGGCTAGTCTTGGGAGGTCACAGTTCACCTTGTGGCCTAGAGTGGGGTGGCTGGGAGCCTGGCAAGCTGAGCTGCATCCTGGGTTCAAGCTGTCCTGTGCCCGTGCTTCTTTATCATCTTCCACTCAGGGGCTGTCTTAGCTGTCCCCTTGCTCCTGTCTGCCATGCTGTACCTCATGACTCCTTGGGGCCAAGCTGCTGTTCACCCAAGTTTTCCCTGCAGAGGGGTTGGGGATGGGCTGTGCCCCAGCCTGCAGTCTGACCACCCCATGCAGGTGTGATCAGGGGGACATGGAGGAGTGGGTGCAGAGACTGGTCCAAAATAAGAGATAGGCCTGGTGCGCACACAGAAAGCATGTTTAAGTGAGACCATGAACGATTTGGAAAGGTAAAAGCTTCAGTATTCAGTAGAGGGACTTGTAGCTACCTGTAAGGAGCAGAGTTTCCAAGGCAGGGATGCTGGAACCAGATCTCTACTTGGTAGTTAAGGACAAGGAGAGAACATGAATTCAGGCTTCTGTGTGGAGTATATTCCTGGCTGCACATGGCAACCCTGTGAGACTGGTGTCTCATCTTAGTGTGGCCCACAGGGAGTCCACATGGGATCTCATGGGAAGACCCAGGTCCTAAGCTGGGGGAGGTGAAGGAGTTTGGCCCTTGGTGCCTGCTCCCTTCCCCTTTCTGGGATTTCCTGGGTGTCCTACCTGTGCACCCCATGGAGGATGCAGTGGGAGAGGACACTGGTGACAGTGGTGTGACAGTACAGAATCTTGGGTCAAGATAGTTTATTTCCCCAAACTATTTAAGCAGGTTCTTCTTGGATGAGGCCTCAGGGATTTGTGCATCTGATTTGTTGCAATTTTGGGGCCCCTGTCCTTAGGAAGCTGCTGTCACAGCCTGCACTTGGGGAAACAGCTCCTGATGTTCCCTTCTGAGAAAGAACAGGGTAGGGTGTGGAAAAAGAGTGACTGGTGGGGCTCTGGATGGAACCTTTGCTTCCCTTAAACTGGGCCTCAAGGAGAGTGGCCCTTTCGGGGAGGCCTCTCCAGGTGTGGGTGCTGAGGACAGCTGCCAACCTCTGGGAGGCTCTGGGCAGAAGGAGTCCTCTTGGCCATTTCCAAGAGGAATTGGATCTGCCTGGTGGCAAATACCTGGTGGCGTTTGTCTTTGTTGTGTGGGCCATACTCTAGTGGGAGATGGAGCATTTTAAGGGCCAGGACCTTCTCAGGCTCCTGGTCTCTTCTGCCTAGTCATTTGGTAGCTTTTCTGGTAGTCGGGGTCCCTCTTCAGTGAGCTATGATGGTCATCTTCTCCTCTTCCATCAGACTACCCAGAAGGAGAGCTAAGAGTTCATCTGGGAATATCCTCAAGTTCTGGAAGCATAGGCTCTATTGTGCTTGAGGTTACTCAGCATCTTCTTTTCTTTGCAGAATCCCAAGGAGTGGACCAAGAAGGTCATCAAGAACATTGCCTGCTCGGGCAAGTTCTCCAGTGACCGGACCATCACGGAGTACGCCCGGGACATTTGGGGTGTGGAGCCCTGTGACCTGCAGATCCCACCCCCCAACCTCCCCAAAGACTAGGTACTAGCACAGTGGGGACCAGTAGGCTTTTGTTTTCTTGTTGACTGTACCTCATGCCATTTTCTAAGCACTTAGCCAGCAGCCAGTGGTCCCTGCTTTTTTTAGTGCTGTGTTCAGGGTGGGATATGGGGATTATGGTAGTAGTTTAGGATTGAGAAAGTGCAGGGATGGATGGACAAGGAAGGAAAAGTGCTAAGAGTGAGATGCTGCCTGGTCTGTGGTAGGAAAGCAGAGCTCACAGCACTGACTAGCGGGCCCCACAGCTGTAGCCCACCATCCCCACAGAACTGGGGAAGGTGGAGCTGCCTGCTAAGCTCTTCTGAGACCTTACAGACACCTTGTTGGGAGCTTGTTTTAAGTTTTGAACCTCTGGATCCTGGGGTCTGGGCAAATGGCCATGGCAAAGCCTGGAGAAGTGTGTTTCTGCAGCACTTGGGTGGCCCCTCAAGTCATCCCTGGCCCAGCTCTGCCTCCTAGCATTGCTGGGAGGGTCCAATGCTCCAGATCGTGTCTTTACAGCTGCCCTGGGGATGCTCTGACCCAGGGCTTCTGCACTGATCAGATAAAGGGGCCCCAGGATGACTAAGGGCGACATTGGGGAAGACACCTGTGTCTAGGCTTTAAGGGGCTTTGGTTAGGATAACACTGGCTGACAAAAAGTTAGCTTCACAAGGAAATGAAACTAACTGAAGCTTTTTTTTGTTTTAGCAACTAAAAATTATACTTTTGGAATTTCAAATCAGAGGAAGGAATTCTGGTTTTTTCACCTGGCTGTGGGGGCTTGGGGCAGGGTCGCTGCCTCTGCTGAGGGAGGCTGGATGCCCAGCCCCTGCTGCAGACCTGCACCCTGTGCCCTTGCTCTGTTCTGGAGGGTTCATTTTCTGTCTTACACACAAGGCTGGCCTCCCTTCTCCCTCCTTTTCCACCAGTGCGACAACCTGCTCTGGAAAAGGACTGAGTGGGCCCAGAGGACAGCCCACTTTCCACTCTGCCCGGACAGCAGGCTGGTACCAGGAAGGGCGAGTGAGCTCCTCAGCTGCCCAGAGGGGAGAGCAAGGAGCACCAGGTGGCACCCTTCATCATGGGGTAATTGGCGATGTTGGACAGAAGTGCCCTTCCAGGGGCTCTGCCTCCTTGCATACTGCGTCTGGGCATCACAGGCTCTGCCCTCATCCCTGACTGTTCACAGAATCAGGCCATGAAGGACTTGCTTAAGTACACACTTTACCAAAGCCACTGGGCTCTGTGGTTGCACCCCCAACACCCTCCGCTCTCCAATCCCTTAGGCTGTGTGTGACCGTCACTGTGCCATTCGCTGTTACTGCCCATTGTTTGAGAAACTGATTAAACCTTCTTGCCCATGCTTGGTTGACCCAGCCTCTGCGTTTCTCTCTGTGCTGGCCTGGGGAGGCCTCAGTGTTTCCCTGGTAATGAAGGGCTGGGCTAAATTATGGCCCATCGTTCTGGGATTGAGGACAGAAAATTCTCTCATCCCAGCTGTTGTGGGGCTTAAGAGTTAGCTCTTCAAAGAATTGTGAAATCTAGCCACTTGGCATTTTTTGCTATTAATTTTATTGGTTCCTTTTCGCACCCATCTTCTGCTACTCACTCTTGGCTCTGGAAGGTAGAATGCCCTAGGGACTAAAATATTTCCTCCCAAATTATATAGCTTGCAAGTTGAATCAAAAACCAGGAGGAACATGAACTTGGGGCTGTAACCTAGACACTGAGAACTATGGGACCTTGTAGCACAGTAGACCCCTGCTGGGGGTGGTGACATTGAGATGCTCTCCTGGGGACTGGGGGGCCATGAGATGTGCTCTGGGAATGTAAGCTCCCTGTCCCTATCCTGCAGCTCCCAGGATGCTTAAATGTAACCACTTTACAGCTATTGCCACCTTTTTTTTTTTTTAAAGGACTGGTCCTGACCACACATTGATTTCGTAACACATCAAAGATGGGCCCTAACCCACATTTTAAGCTTAGTTGCTTGGACCAAGGTTTATAATAAACTAAGAAATCATTAGTTAAGGGCCTTTGGACCTGATTAACTGACAATGACCCAGCAACTTCCTGCTCACTGTTCTCTTTTTATGCTTCTTCTTAAATCAGCCTCTCAGGCACCTATAAAAAAAATTAAAAGTGTGTATTTTTTACTTTAAATCCTATCTCATTCCCCTCCAAAGGGATCTGAAGCAACTCAAATAGATTACAGGTTATAAAGAAAAAAACAAACAAATGCTGAGACTTGAGCACAGGCAGAGCAGGCAGGTCTGAAGCAGTATGAGCAAGTCACACCCACTTCTTTGGCTGAAATGGTGTGGGAACTTGACTTTGAGCCTCCGTGACAAAGCCAGAAGAGCACGCCAGTCTCATGAAGGCTTCCCAGGCCAGGCAGGCACGTGATGTTTTAGTGTTACTCAGAGCCTCTGACACACAGCAGTTACACAGACAGACACGACTGGGCTGGGCCTGTACAGGTGTCCCGGCTCTGACAGATGTGTAGCCTGGGATGGTGGTGTCTTATAGGCAGTGATCACATTTGAAACACCCATTGACCTCAGGACCAGAGTCTGTTCACATTTCAACCTATTTTAAGAAAGATATGTCTCTCAGATGTGAGAATCACCATAGGCAGCTCTGAAGTGCCTCAGAGAGGTGGTGGTATAAACAGCTTTGGCCTCTGAGCCCCAAGCTAGCCCTAGCTGCTAACACTGACCATAACAACTTGGAGAACAGGCAGGCAGGTATAAGAGTGCCCCTGCTACCCCTAGAAAATTTCCAAGCTTCTGAGACTGATAAGTTCCAGAGCTGTAAGATATGGGGGAGGAAGGCCAGCCTTCTGGAGAGGCTACCCTCCGAGGTGGGACATACCCTTGTACCTATACAGCAGGGGCAAGAAAGCCACCTGTGGGGGCAGCTCAAGGACCATTCTTATTAAGCCACAGTTCTCTGAGAGGTTGCTTAATCAGAATGTAAGCCTCTGGCCTGTCACCAGAGCCAGGAGAGGGAAGAAGTGGGGTTGTTAGTGGGTCCTGGGTCCCAGGCTGGAGCACCAGAATTACAGGAAAGGCTGGCTTGACAAAATGCCAAACAACACAAAGGTCACCACTAGCGAGTAAACGAGGTGATGCTCATTGGCCAGAACTTGAGTGTCCTGTCCTTTCAGTCATCAGGGGTTTATGTTTATCTAGGGTGTGTAGTGAAACCCCAATGCCCATCCATTGACACAGACATAAAATAGGCTTCCTAAGAAGAGATTGAAAGGGTTACCTAAATAGGCCTATATTTTAGGAAAATGCCATCTGCTACATCTGGAGAAGGCCCCTCCCTGGAAGGAGGGAGGAAAGAAAGGCCCACTTCCTTACCCTAATAGTCACCCCTCCTCCCACAAGGCGAGGCTGTGAGAGTGGCCTGGGGCTGTGGGCAGGGCCTGTGTAGGGCTAGAGGCAGCACTGAGAAAGCAACAGACAGACCACCACTAGGATTTTATTAAATAAACGCTCAGGTGAACAGGTGGGTGGAAAGTGGAGGAAGTGCAGATCGTGGGCACTTCCCTCTCTGTGAGTGGTGGGCCTGCCAAGGGAGGCAGGGACACCAAGGAAGGCAAGTGGGGGTGCAGAGGGCAGGAAGGGGCTATGGAACCAACAGAGTCCATTCTGCATGTGCTGGGAAGGGACAGAAGAACCCAAGTGTCCTCACATTCTCATGGGTGGTACCGGATAGCTCAGTGTGGTCCCAAGACTTCATACTTCCTGCCTCATTCTCCATACCCAGCTCAAGAAGTGTGGGATCGACCTGCTGGTTGCTGCCTGCTGTGTCACTGTCCTTCCAAGAACTCAGGTTGAGTGGCAGCAAGAGGGAGAGAGGGCCACATGCCTGCCACTCGCATTTTCCACAAAGATCTATGCTCCTGGCCACCAGTCTGCTGTGGCCTCCTCTTCCTGCCCTAGATGGCATCCGAGTCCTCTCTCCAGGTGCATCACAGACGCTGGTACCCTTGCTCCACGGTGCTGGGTTGGCTGGAGGAATGGGGAGGAGGGCAAAGGTCTTCATGCTCCTTCAAGCAGTGAGCTCAGTGCTGGTGCTCAGGTTCCGAATTCCCCAGGAATTCCCTAGACCAGAGGACAACCATCAGCCAAATCCGAGCCCAACCCAGAGATCCTGCCTCCTGTAGTTCTCACACAGCAGTCTGAGGACGAGAAGGAGCATGGAGGACCACATTCCCACTCGGAAAACAGTCACTGAGTTAAAGAAGCAAGGGCACCATTGGCATCTCGTAGTCAAATCCTGACATGCAGGAAGAAAGATCAGGTTATGGGCTACTCTTCTTTATTCTAACCTGTAGAGTTATACTCTGGCCCATATTTTCTATAATATGTTCCTTTTATGATGGGGAAAAATTTACAACTCCAGAACAAACCCATACTTTTTCAGCTCACTGTTCCCTCTCAGCAACCCAGGTCCGTGTGGCAAGGAACGGCAACATGCTAAAGAAACGTAGCTTTGCCTCTGGAACTTTCAAGGTAGCCAAAGGAGAAATGAAGTGTGAAGTAGAATTATACAAGGGATGAAGCATAATGAGGGCCAATTTGAGCACCCCCAGACCCAGCAGGCCCAGGAAGGTGAATTCACAGCCAGGAGCACACCTTCTTCCAAGAAGCAGCTGGGGACAAACAGGCTTGAGGAGCTAGCTGGCCCAGGCCAGAGGGCCCATGTGCATGCTGTGTGTGCAGGGGCAGGACCTGACAGGTATGTGGGAAGGGACCAAGGCCTTACCCACAGCAGCAGGGGAGTGTGTGGAGTGATGAGCCCCTGCATGGGGTGTTTGTGTGGGCCTCCACAACCTGTACCACAGGGAGATCATGGGAACAGTCTAGGAGGGAGGGGCGATAAAACACTCTTCAGCCCCTATGGGTGGAAATGAAAGGCTGTTGAATTATGGTGACTCTTGACCCCACTAGAGCAGCTTTAGCAGCTGAGCCTGCTGTATGTCTGCTCTGAGCTGTTGCCATCCAGGACAACGTCCCTGGTGAGAAGAGAACACCTCACCTTAGTATTCGAGGAAGCTCAGGGCTCTTGTAGATGTACTTGTGCCTGTAGCCGAGGTCTGAGTGAAAGGGGATAAACTGAACTTTGAAGTCTCGGAAGCTCTGAGAGGGTGCAGCAATGTTGTAGAGCTGAGGAGGGAAAGATGGGTCAGTGCTCAGAGATGGGAGCCTTGTGAGTGACCTGCTTGGTGTTTTCTTCAACAGAGGCCAGTCAGTGGCTGCTGCTTCTGCAGGGCAGACCATATCCCGCTCTAATAGCACTGCTAGCCCTGCAGTTTGCCATGGCTAGGGCCGGAGGTGCTGGCAGGAATCCGGCTAAGGCTCAGCCCTTAGGCCTGCCGTTGAAGACCCTCTCTATCCCCATGCCTGTCTCTTAGAGCTCCTCATTCCTCAGGGAGCAGCAAAGTGGATGAGCCAGCACCACAAAAAGAGCCATCTGCTAAGAAATGGTGTAGTGGCCTGAGAGACTGGAGAAGCCCTGATGTCTTAGCCTTGGGGGCTGGAATAGGTTATGTGCCTCAGACTTTGCTCTGTGCCTGGGTCAAGGCCAGTCAACAAGCTGGCTCAGTATCTATCCTGCCCTCAGCCCCTCCCTCCTCCTACCCCTGGGATAGCCAGGCAGTGTGCTCAGACCTGCTGGAGGGAAGGGACCTGGTCCTGGTGGATCTATCTGTACCTCGGGCCTATTCTGAGGCAGAAGTAGCATAGTCATCGCTTCCTCCCTGCCATCACCATGGTCAGGTAGTGCTATCTCCTACCCTACACTCGCCTACAAATCTAATCTTGCTTCTCGGGAGCAAAGGGAAAGCAAATTCAGCAAAAGCAAATGCAAAGGCCCCACGACAACACAGTACTCCTCTGACATCGGTCCAGTCCTAAAGGCAAGAGAACAAATGAGAGGTTCTCTGTCGATGCTACTGGAACTCTTGCATTGGGGATTGAGGATCCTCATCATTGATGGGTCCTACACTCCAGCCAGTAACTGGCAAGCCCTCCCAGCTAAGTCCCCTACAGTCAGAGTCAGGCCAGGACCTTTGTACAGGGACCTGAGAGACACCTGCTTATTTTTCATGTTTCCTCTATAGATGGCCTTGCTGTCTGGCCCCCCACCCCCTTCCTGCCAATAGCAGGCCCCTTTTCCACCTCTGCCTATGCCCAGCCTGAACATGGGACTGTTAGATGCCTGCTGGCACCAGGGGCTGCACTGACACCTACCTTTCTGCCAAGCTGGAAGGGCACAACTGGGTCATCCTCAGCGTGCAAGATGAGCAGGGAGCAGGAGATGTGCTTCACACTGTGGGGATGAAAAAGGACTAGACTAAGACCCCAGGGAGATGGCTGGGGCCTCCTAGTCCCCTGGCTGTGCCCTTATCAGGGACTAAGTTCAGGGAGTGTTTCACCATGGTGCTTAACAGCTAAAATTCTTCTGGGCTGCTGTTTAGCAGAGAACTAAAAGTTGATTTCTCAGATGTTTCTATCAACACCTATTCAAAGTGATAGGTATCAATCAAATCTAGAGGTCAATTCATTCACCAAATCTGGCACCTGCATATTTTCTGAAAATTGAAAATGATTATTTTTGCTAGTAGACATATTCTTTAAAAATTACAAAACAATATTTACAAATCGAATAATTTAGGTAAGCCAAGAAACTTACCGAAAATGACTGTTACTAGGAATCCATTGGTAACAAGTCGATACCCTCTAATTTTTCTTTGGTTAAGGTCACTCCTGAATGTTTACAAATGAATTAACATTTTCAATAGGTTCATTCAATCCAAGCCTTCAGCAAACCATATAACACAAGAACAGACCAAGTGTCTCTTGGCTGCCTCACTGAGGTCTCATGGTAAAGCTGGTGGACTCGGCACCCACCTGCTCTTGGTGATTTCATACTGATCTGGGGGCTCTGTATGGGCAGTGCTGGGCAAGCTTGGCACCTGGCAAGACCTGGGCCAGGAGGCTCGTCACCCCAAAGATACCCAGCCTATCTGGAAGTCCACATTTCTGCTAGTGTTGCACAAGCACACACGCTCTTGCCTCATTTTGCTTCTAGGCTGGAGTGTTTCTTGTCACACTTTGAACTGCTCACTTTTCAGATTTCCTACGGTAGGCAGTTTGTCTTACCTGTGTCTGCTCTGGAAGAGGCCTAGTTCACATGCTGTCACCTTGGCAGTATTTGGCAACAGACCTGCTGACCAGGAGGGGCCTCCTTACTTCCAGTGTGGGGAGGGCTGGGCTACATGGGGTGATGTGCTATGGGCCCCCACTGCTCAGCTGGAGAGCAGGACCAAAGGTGGCCTGGGTTGGAGGGCAGGGAACAACATTCACTGTTGTTGCTGAGAAGGAATCCAGTTTATTCAAGTTCCAAAACAACAATATTTATAAACAAGCATGGTCTTTTGCTTATAATGTTAGGTAAAATTTCAGTTTGTTCTATTTTTTGAACCAAAAACCATAATTAAGGCGAAAAATACTCCATTTTTCTAAATTGTTTCAAACTGCAGATTTTTAAATGTTAACCAAATAGATAAGGATTTTTCCTTTGAAGAAATTAAAACCCATAAAATATATCACAAAGACAATGTCAACAGACTATGAATGTTGTTCAAAGAAAGAGTCTTTAACCAGAATATTTATTTTTGGTTTACTTAATAGAACTATTTTTAATAATTAACTTTGTAACATCTTTTCACAACCAAATATCAATCAAATGGCTGAGGAAAGTCATTTTTGAATGACAGTTACTACTACTACTTTAATACCTATTCAAGAGTTCTGGTTTTGCCTTGCTATTTTAAAATAAAAATGGTATGAACAAAAATACTTTGTTTTCATATAGCTTTAATTCTATAGTCTATTCACACTCCTTTTTCTCTCAGCTGCAGCACTATGCCTACCTTCCCTCTATAAAGATCTATTGCTTAAAGAAGAACCCTAGTCTTCAGAATTCCATTCTATTTGGTCAATGTGACTGAACAGGCTTACGCTGGGGATTCTTGGTGTTTTTCTAAATTGAAAAATTAGGTACTCTACCACAGTACTCACTTTTCATCATTTGCAAATTTAATTCCACTGCTTGTAATGGGATCAAGGAAGAACCAGTCAAATCCAGGGAAATATCGATATATCTGAAGGCAACATGGAAACAATGTACAGAAGCATCAGTTAAAATAACCATGTGGAAGGCCAAGGTCAAGGGTTCAGACAGAGGGTGCTAAGTGCCCAGGATATACCCATACTTCTGAGCAAACTGATCTGCAGCCCCACCAGAGCTATGCTGGGGTGCCCCTAGCCCCCTGTGCCCTGACCACAGAGTTTCTACTAGAGAGGCTACCAGACTAGACTGGCTGCAGCAAGGGCTGCTTGCAAACAGGGCTCCCACACCTCAGAGCGGCAGCCAGGATCAGCCTGGAGACCAGACTTCCCACAGATTTTGAGGCCACCACCCCCAGTGAAATGGGGGTCTGTGTGACTTGAGAGAAAAGCAACAACAAAGAAGTAACACTATAGAGGAGTCTTATGTCTGCAACAGAGCAGTGTGAAGTCAGGCTCGGGGCTGACAGAGCTCCCCGAGAAAACACTGCCAGTCAGGAAGCAGTGGAATGAAGGAGGAAGTAACGGCACAGAGAAGCCCCTCTGGGCCAAGCTTGTAAAAGAATAGTCTAAGGCTTCGATTCGGTTAGTGAGGGCCCAACTCATCCTAGAATCCCCATCTGAGTTTACCCAGGGTATGACCCTGATATATGACCGTTAGAGGCTGGCTGCCAAGTACTGTCTATGGGGATGGAGAGTGAGGGTGCCCACTAGCTCACTCCTGAGAAGCAGCTGGGCTGAACCCCACGGGGCAACTATGCCCGGTGGACAAACCGTGCCACGGGGGCAAGGCCTCCCATGGGTCCTGCTGCCCTAGACAACCCAGCTGTGAATCCGTCCTACCTGGCTGCAAAGTTATAACCTTCCTGGGCAGCTCTGGAGTCAGGCTAATGCCTGGAACTAAACAAGGATTAATTTTTAATAACATCTATATTCACTGGAATATTTAAATAATAATTTTTATGATTGTTTTATTTTGTAAGTATTTACTATAATTATTTTTGTAGTAATTATTTTAATGAAAAGAAGTCAATTTTTAATAAGATCTGTACTTGCCACTGAGAACGGATGGCTCTTAGCTTCTTCACGAATATTGGTGAATGGAGATTCCAATATTAGGGCATCTGGAGGTGTCTCTAGGTAAGTAAAACAAACAGAAAAAACAACAGTGAGATGGGCAAAAAGCCCAGATAAAACACATGCTCCAGGGTCCCATGGGGGGGTTTGTGGGAGAGGCAGGCCACCAGACAAGAAAATGGAACCCAGGGTGCTAGACTGGCTGGCCCTCCCACATGATTGGTATCTGGGAAGGGTCCATGCAGGGGACCCTCAGGTGGTCTTGGGTCGCTCTTGAGAATGTCTGCTGAAGCTGCTTATTTGGATCCTGGCCCTTAGTGAGGCTGCGCCAGCTACTCGAAAATCCTTGGGGGAATGCAAGCTTAGATTAGCTGAGGTTTTGTCTGCCCAGGTCCTGGCCTCAATGCTCAACTCAAGGGGCTCCGTGAAGACACCAAGCACAGTCACTGTGCTGCTCACTCGTCAGCACCCACTTCACAGGAGCTCACAGCAGGCAGGGCCTGGAACGCAGTCAGAGCCCAAACACTGCTTGTCTTGAGAGAGCCCAGGACCAGGAGAAGCCCATGCCCACACACCAGGACTCACATGCCACATGAACCCCTACCTCGCTCACAGAGGCGCCGCACCAGATTTGTTGCCACTCTGAAAAAAGAAAAAAACAGTTCAGCTGAATTTCAACAAAAATTACTTTAGATGAGACTGTTCTAAATCCTGCAAAGTGAACAGAGAAGCCATGGGATCTGTGAAGTAATTAGTAGGGTTATAGGGAGGGATTCGGGGGCACAAAGATGCTCTAGGACCATGGGTGGGCCCAGCTGCCCCAACCATCAGCCAACCCTTCCAACAAGGATGGCGATGACAGCCACTCTTCAAGTCTCTGAGATATGTTCTACAGCCCCACCAGGAATAGCCTCCTTTAGGCTACACAGCACTGCCTCTCAGCTCACACCTGCCTGGAGTGGGTGCTGCTGAGACAGAGCAATAGTGGGAATCAGGGCTGCCGCATCAGCTGAGAAGAGGCTGTGGTTTATCTGCACAATTCCTGGAGGAGGTAGAATTTGGGGTCCGTCAGGCCTGGGTGCAGTGTGGGTGGGGTGGGGGGGGGCGGGCAAGGGGAATAGGGGGAGGGTCTCAAGACCACTGGGGGTC